TCGCCTGGCCTGCGACACAGCCGCCCCGCGTCGCCCTTCACGATGTCGAAGCGGACCATGACCGCAAGAGCTGGTTCGTCGTCTCCCACATGTGCTACGAGGTCTTCTGTCGCGACCTGCCGAGCGCCCTGCCAGGCAAACTTCGGAAGCTTCTGCGGAAGGGCCGGCTCGGTCGCTCTCGTTCCTGGCCACGCACGGCGCCTTCATGGTCAGCTCATTCAGGTAGCCGATGAAAGCCTCCCGGTGCCTGTTGGATCTTGACGCCTCTCGCGGTCCGATGCTCGTGTCTCGCTCGTTGAATCCATCAGGTGGCGGCTTGCTGTCGAGGTGTCGCCCCTTCCTCAGACCCTCGTCGATCAGCTGGCCCTTCATCGCCCGCTCGTGCACCCGGCACTCGGGGTTCTCCATCTCGTGGTTCTGCTGGGGCAGCATCCGATGCACCTCCGTCAGCCGACGGCGAAGCCAGATCGGCATCTCCACCTGGATCCGCACGTCTTACACGCAGGGCCCGCTGCTCTTCATCTCGATCTGGATTATCGCCCCATGCCTCTGGTCCAGGCAGGTCGACTACATCGCCAAAAAAGCCCTTCGCCAACTACTGCAAAATCTTCTTGATATGATCCGAACTACCCGCCGAGATGCCCATGGTCTGCTCTGCTCTGGTCGCTGCGCCTAGATGTGCTGATGCGGCTCGCGCCAGTCCATCTCCGTCTACTATCCGGTCAACCCCTCGTCTTTCTGTCGCCCCGCTCTTAATCTCACGTTCCTGCATCAGCACCGCGGCTGGACCGCGCAGACGCTCTGCCATGCCGCGCGCGGTTGCGACTGTCGCCCTCGGCCCCTCTCCAGCAGCGCGGCCCCTCTCGATTCCCAGGTCTTGAACAACCAAATATTCGCCAACAGCGCCCCCGTGGTCGACGCAGGCCATGCACGCCTCCTTCTCGACACGGGTCAGCTCTGCGAAGTGCTCGCCAGCGACGCCGGCGCTCAGAACCGAGGGGTTCTCTTCATGAACCAGACCTTGCCCCGATGGGGCCCGACCCATCATCGGCATCATCGGGCCGCGACCTCGACGGCGCATCATCTCGTGGTTCGCGGCGCAGGCCAACGCGAAGATCCACTGCGGGCCCGCGCCGCCGGGGAGACCCCGGACGCCGCGCGCCGCGACGCCCTCGACCGTTTCGACGCACCTCTCGACAACTCCCTTTCGCCAGCGAGCTTCGCGCACTTCTGGCTCTCACCCCATGTAACTACCAGATACAACAAAGACTCGATGCTCGGCTTGACGACAACATCCTGCAGGATATGATCGGGGCACCTCTGGTTTTCAGTGATGCGGAATCCAGGTCTCCAGAACCGCGCCCTGCATCTCCCGCGCAGCCGCGTTGCCGCAGTTCTCCCGCACGCCCTCCTTGGCCAAGGTCTGACAGAACGAAATTGCGCCCCAATAGTCTGCGCACGGGGAAACTCGGACATGATAGGCTCGACGAGAATGTGCCCAGTACAAGTTGTCGCAACCATGAGATGACCCAGGAAGTTCTGAGTTGGCGACCTGTCTCGATTGAAAACGCTGCGCCGCCTTACACGATGGGCATTCGTAGCGACGACATAGGCCCGCGATCGCCTCATCGGCCTTCCTGCCCTCCAGCGCAGCCACCGCGGTCAGCGCACTGCAGAGGCCAAAGTTCTGGCGGATGCGCGCAATGATCGCCAGGGCCCCTGGAAACCCTGCCTTTCCGCCGGCGTCGGCGTCTTCGGCGATTCCATCGCGAAAGCTCACTCGTCGCCCTGCGTCGCCGGCACTTCGACGAAACCCTCCTTGATGATATCCTCGACTAGCATGTTCTGCTCCCCCCCCCGGCGGATAGCGCAGCGCTCGCTCTAGGCGGCCCGCCGCGCCTCGGGGCCCGCCGGCGCGCGGAGGACCTCGAAGACAAACGACTTGGCAGAGTGTTGCTCAATGTCGGCGCGGCGCATCGGGTCGCCGGCGCCTCGCCGTCCGTCTCCGCCTCGGCGGTCGCGCAGTTCGAGCCCCGTCTGCACGGAGGACGCGGTGCCTCTCGAGCGTCCCCCGTCAACTCCAGCCCCTTGAAGTTCTCGCGAGACTTCACGCGCTGGCACAGGCGCCCGCTCTGCACTCGGTTGGGCACGCACTTGAAAAGGATCTCCCCGCAATATTGGCACTCAATCTGCCCCGTGCGGCCGTTCGCCCCTTGGCGAGTCTGACTGCGATGCTGGCACGCCCTGGCCGTTGACTGCCCCGACGAGGGGGCTGGCGCCAAGGGGCCCCGGGCACGCGCGTTGAGCCTGAGCCAGAAAGCTCTCCAGAATCACGGAGATCCCAACCCATAAGGCTCAACATGTCTAGACTACCGTCGATCCCGAAACCGATCCATTGAAAGAACTCGCCCATCGTATCCTCGAATAACACACGCTGGCCTCTTCCCAAGAAATCCAATCACACCTCGATTTCCGAAATATGCGGGAGCGCATCTGGGCGAGCGAATCCCACGATGTATACAACATAGAGCTCCTGCCTGAGTCACAGACCCACACGTCTCTAGATACTTCGGGGCCCTCGGTCTGGTTCGCACGCTTTGCCGGGCACCCACCAATACGACCCATCACGCCGTCGCTGAATTTCGGGCACTTGGTTTTCAACTGGAGACCCAGTTGGAGCAACTGCTGGAGCTCCTTGGGAGCCTCCGGCGTCTTTGGGGCCCCCGGTAGCGACGACGGCTGTTGACGGCTTTTTCCGCGGCCTCCTCGCCGCGACCAGGGCGCCGCCCCCACTCACGCCTGGAGCTCGAGCCAGCGTCTTTCAGAGCGGCGAGGTTTAAAGAAAGGTGGCCCCACACCAGAAAATTCGCGGGGATATTTTTCTTGAGCTTGCGGGAGTAGACTGCGTTCTTACCATTATCGATGACTAGCTCGCACTTCTTCGGCACGTCGATCCCAGGGAGCACGGGCGAACGGCTATCCAGCACGTAGATGTCGACCTTGTGGCCGTCTAAGTTGCCCGCGTTGGGCGACGCGCGAGACGGCGCGGCTGCTCGGTCATCGCCCGCGAACGAGAAGCCCAAGCTTTACTCCGGGTCGACCTCCATCGGCTGCTCGATGTTGTCGCTCATGTACTCCAGCTGCTCGACGCCGCCGACAGATCGTGAAACTCCGCCGGCAAGCAGGGCGTAGCCCCTGCACTCGTCCACGCTGAACGCGACGAACTCGTCGGTCTCCTGCTCCGTCTCTGGCCGCGCACCGCGCCACTCTTCGGTCGCCGCGCCCACGAAGCTGCCGAACGCCCGGCGCCTGTCCGATTGAGATCCCGCCTTGCCCCGATTGGAGCTTGGGGCGCTCCTTCGCCCTATGTCCGCGTTCTCCACACACCAGACAAGCATCGTTGTCAACCATCTTCGATGCCGTCGAGGTCGTACTTGAGCGCGTCGCCGTTGACGTAGCCTGGCCCTCAGCTTTTCCACGACATCGACTCTTGCCCTCGTCTTTAGATGGCGGTCCTCCACGGTTCACTGCACGCCCGCGTCCGGCTCCAGCACCTGGCTGTTAAGGTACCGCGCCATAGTCGCCGACGCCGACCGCGGGGAAGTAGCCTCTCGCGTTCTACACCTCGTTGATGAGCTTCCTGGTCTCCACGAACGTGCGTGACGCTGCGCAGGCCGTCTCCGTCCACTCGTCCGTGCTTCCACCACCAGGTAGAGCAGCAGCTGACAGCCCTTTTTGTAGGTGAACGTTCTCCTCGTTTTCGTGATTATCTCCGATTGCTGCCGTCATGAGCTCCTCTGCTGCTGCCATCGCTGTCTTGACGATCTCGGCCGCTTCGCCGAAAACGTCGCGATAGCCTTCATCGTGCACCTCCCCCGCGTAGGCTGTCAGCTCGTGTACCTGATCCGGGTCCTCGAAGAGCGCGTGCACACAGTTCCTAGTTGTAGCCATCCTGCTTGCCCCTCGCAGCCAGCTGCTACTCCGACCACTGCTCGCTCAGCGCCTTTTTCACGTCCTCGTACATTTAAGAGTTGCCCTTCACGCCGGAGGTCGCCAGTACTGCCAGCTGCTGTACCGTCCAACAAGATCAAACCCAGGAAGAAACTCATGCATGAGGCCTGTAGCTGGAATGCCGTTGCAAACCACACGTAGGGCCTTCCCGATACTGCTGAGATGGATGTCGAATCTTGATACCCAGCGCGTTGGCCCTTCTCCTGGGTTCCTATAGATGCCTCTTATGAACTCTCGGCCGCGGATCCCCTTCAAGACGGTGAACACTCGCTCGGGGCCGTCATCCTCCACCAGGTCGCCTAGAGACACATTCTTCCTGCTGGGAGTCCTCGTCCATGGCCTGGACCAGCGGGCCCCAAGTAGACTCTGTCCTCCTTGGTGCCCAGGACCCATAGCTTGATTTTCTGTGAGAAACTACATATTGCCGAAGCTTCTCCATTCCAGACTGGAATACTCACACCTCCTGTCTGTTGTTCATTCGCCATCCTGAAACTTGGAGGTCGAAAGGGCTGCCACTTCGTCGACAGGGAGTCCAATTAACAACAGCATATTGTCGGGAAGTCGAGAGGGGGCAGGCATTTTATCAAACAATCCAAGATATCGCGTCTGGTGCCCCTGAGCTCCGGACAAAGCTTCGTGAAACAATCACCTTGCTGGCTCCAATCTGGCTTGTGCCAGATGGCTGCGGACAGGCTGGGGCAGGCAGGCACTGGAGGTTGCTCTCATCTCACCGTTTTTCTTCCGAAACTCACTCATATCTCCCCCTTGCTGCTGGCTGGAACCAGTGCCGGGCCACTTCAGCCCCACAGCCAGCTCCAACTTATGACCCTGCCCGACGGCACAGACACATGTCTGTGCAAAAATGTCACACTTCCACCCTGTGGACAGGCAATGTATGAGCGAAACGAGGAAACCGCGCTTCGCCACAGCATTGCTGCGCTACTTCCCCGAGGCAATCGCGGAGATGCGCGGGAGCGCAGCTGGATAGCCGATGTTGAAGACATACCAGAGGGCGATGTAGATCACCACCGAGTACTTGGCGAAGGAGCTCTCCTGTTCCCAGGGCCGGGAGGAATCGGGGCCAGCCGCAGGAGAGCCCTCGGGAAGTCCTACAACCCTGGCAGCGCTGAGCACGCCAGGCAGGGTGCCTGGACGAAGGGGCATATTGCATACAGGGGGAGAAACAGAAGGCCAAGCCCAAAAGAGACCAGGCTCACCACGCCAGCCTCCCGCTAGCGCGTTCGCCATCGCCTGCCTGCGTCTCCCCGTCGGGCGTTGCGTAATGCGGGGGCGATAATGGGGGGGGAGAGACGCGCACCCCTCGTCCCCGGTTTGGGCCCCAGTGGGCCCCCGTTGGGGCTCTTCCGGGCACAAAAGGCGCACCCTTCTTCACCCCACCGCTTATCGGCCCCCCACCACGCAACGCCCGACCCCTCCTCTCTGTCCCTCGCAGAGCAGCGCAGCCTGCCCGGAGCCTGCGCGGCGGCGCGCCGTGAGGCCCACCCCGAGCTTCTGCCTCAGAGGGCCCCAAAGGTCACCTGAGGCCCAGGAGATCTCCAGGGGTCTCTTCGATGATGCCTGGGCGTTGCTTCATGAGGGGGGCGATAAGCAAGGGGGCAAATAAACGTGCAACTCTCGTGGCCCTCTTGGCCTGCGCACCCGGACAACATCAGGGGGGGACCGGCTCGGGGGGGGGGAACATCGAGCTGGAATCGGCGATACATCGCCGATGGGTCGGCGATGTGCCCACGAGGGCGAACCCGCACGCTCCTGGGCGGGGCGGGCTAGCGGGCCCCTCTCGGCGATGAATGGGCGCTTGGGGATCGATGCATCCCCCCCTGAGCCATTCCCCCCCTCAACGCTACCCCTGACGGACATGCCCAGAGAGCTCCCGCAAACTGAGGCCGTGCTGCACCGTCGCCCCCGCTTCCATCGTCCTGGGCGCCTCGCGCCTGTCCCCTTCCCTGCGGCTCGGCTCTGGGCCTCGCGGGTGCAGCAGCGTCAGAGCGTGGGGCAGTCGTAGGACCGCGAGATCCACACATGTCCACCGCCGCTGGCCAGGCCCCATCCTGGGCCCAGGAGCGGCGTGTGTACGCCCCTCGGGCCTGGCCAGGGCGCCATGCGCACAGCTCCAGGGCCCAGGATGGGGCCTGGCCAGCGGCGGTGGACGTGTGTAGATCTCGCCGCCCTGGGTCGTTCCAGCTGTTCTGGCGCCCCTGGTGGCGTCTCTCTCGCTGGGCGTGGTGGAAGCGGCTTCGGCGGCTGCAGCAGGAGCGGGGAGCCTGGGGGAGGGGAGTAGCACCAGTATCCCAGGGCGCCGATCCCCCGTGTCTTCGACGAGGCTCCCCGTCGAATGCGTGTGATGCCCGCCTGTGGGCTGGGCCATCCACCCCCGCTGCAGCCGCCGAGAGGAGGCTGCTGAACCCCGCCTCCCAGGCGCGCTCCACGCGCCAGGAGCGGCGCTGGAGGCACCGCCAGGGCGGCCCCACGCCGATGGAAGAACTCCGCGCAGAACTCCGAAACTGATTGATTGGGACAACGTTTTCAAGTTGCACTTATCTGTCTGGCCCAGCAGGACTCACGCTAGCCTGCGAGCAGCCTTGCTGCAAAAGCGCGCTGGGCCGTAAAACTGCTGCGGATCGGCGCGGCGGGAGCGGACAGATCGTGCCCCCCCCCACCCACGCTCGCCGGCGTGCTTCCGCGCCAGCCTGGCTGCTCATTCCCCAGCCAGCTTTACCTAAAAACGGACCCTGGCTTGCTTGTGAGAGATGCCGGCGGGTGCAGGGCCCTTCGCCCCCGCCGTTCCTCGGGATTCCTCGGGGTTCTCCAGCGTTCCTCGGAGCTCCTCGGGGCTCCTCGGCGTTGTTCCTCGGCGTTGCTTGGCCACGGCGGCCCCTGCCACTGCTCGGGGCTCCTCCTCCAGCGAGCTGCGGCAGGCCTCTGCACTCGTCTGGGTGAGCACAAAAATACCAATACCGCTACTCCCCGGACCCCTCTCGGGGTGCGTCCTGACCAGAACATCGGGGCGAATCCAGCGGTGGCGACGAGGGCCTCCAAGGAGGCCCAGAAAGGCGAAAACGCGGCACGGGCAGCGGTATCGGTACCGCAGTGACTGGTCTTGGCTTTCGGGTCATCACTCGTGTCTCCTGCGGGCGTTCGGGACGATCCGCACACCCCCAGAACGCCCTCGGCGAGGCGAAGCCGCTGGAAGGCATCCCAAGGCTGGAAAACAGCAGGGGACCAACGAAAACGCCCGGAACCCTCGAACCTCAAACTCGCGCGAAAACTCGTCGGCCCGCGCCTGCCGCCCCGCTGCTCGTCCACGAGGCGTGCCGCAGGGGGTGCCTGGCGAGAGGCGAGGGCTTCGCGGCCGCCGCCGGCGAGCTGACGCTGCGGGCGGAGCGCCGCCACGGCCCCGCCTGAGAGCACAAGAGCAAAACAGGGCTCTCATTTTTCTGCAAAGTATAAGCTGGTTTATCCCTCTCGCTGCCCTCCCCTCGTCCCTCCGCACCGTCCCCCTCCCATCCTCCCCTCCCCTCCCCTCCTCCCTCCACCCCACTTGCTGACCCCCAAGGGGCGGAGCGGGCGTCCGCAGGGCCCTCTCCCCTACCGTGTCGGCGGCCAGCCGAGGGGGGAAAGAAGACCGGGCGGGCCTCCTCAGAAGGCTCAGACGGCCTCCAGCCTTCCGAGAAGCGTGCCAAGACTCCTCCGAAGGCAGACGGCAGAGACAGCTTCTCAAAGGCTGGAAGGCTTCTGAGAAGTCCCGCCGCCTTCCAGCAAGGCCCCCTCTCGCTGCCTCCCCTGGGCGCGCCGCCGAGCTGAAGCATCAGCGGCACAAACAAGGAACTTGTTGGTCAGCGGCCACGTGGGACACGCGACGTCGGGCAGCAGCCAGGACGCGACAGAGCAGATGGCGCACAAGCGTGAGCGGGGAAGGAGGACAGCCGCCGCGGAGGAGCACGGAGGAGAGAACCGAGCTCAGAGCGAACAGAAGCATAAGGCACAAGCATATATGATGGACCAATACACGGAACACAATAGTAAAGCAGCCACGTCAACAGAAACTGTCGGAGGTCCCCGCTGATTTTTGTGGTCGGCGCTTGACCGAAGCACACGTAGCGGACCTTGGCCTGGCGGGGGAAAAAAAACAGCAGCACCAAAACACAACAACATAAACGCTGGAGCGAGAACGAAGAGGCAGGAGAGAGGGAGGCGGAAAGAGAGGAAGCAGCAGGCGGACAGACGACGACGGGGGGAGCGAAGGGGAAGAGGAGCGGGAGAGGAGCATCCAGCGAGGTCCCTTCCCTAACCCCACCGTGGGATAACCCCCTCTTTGAGGGGGAACATTGACGTGGAGTCGGCGGTACATCGCCGACAGGTCGGTGATGGACCCCCGATGGCAATTCCCTACGCTCCCGGGCGGGAAAAGGGCTTTCGGGCCCCGATTGGCAATGCGATGTGCGATTGTGGGCTTATGCTTCCCCCCCTGAGCCTATCCCCCCCCCTGACGTTGCCCTTTGGCTTTCGGGCCATAGCTCGGGCCCCTGGCAGCCGTTCGGAAAGATCCGAGCACCCACGGGACGGTGTCGACGAGGCGCAGCTGATGGAAACCACCCGGGTCTCGGTCTCGAGATCCCTCGAAACCGATCGATAACTCTCGAAAACCCCCCCCCCTAGCCTCAAACCCCCTCTTACCGCTGCCCTCAGCTCGAATCCCTGCGCAGGGGGCCGCTGCCCGGAGCGCGCGGCTCCTCCTTCGCCGGTGCCGCCTCGGCCTCGCCCTCGGCGCGCAGGGCCGCGGCCGCCGCGCGCATGGCCACGGCGGCGCCTCGGGTGGACGCAGTCGCCGCCTCGCCGCCGCCGTCGCCGCCGTCGCCGTGGTCGTCGCCGTCGTCGCCTCGCCGCTGCCGTCGCCGCCATCGCCGTCGTCGCTACCGTCGCCGAAGTCGCCGAGCGCCCGCTCCTCGCGGTTACCTCGAGGTCCCTCTGACGGCCAATGAGCTATCATAGCACTGCGGTGTTGACCCATCCTGGTCGATGTTGGGCGTCCCTTCGAACGATCATTCCACGTTTCTCGTACCTGCCTCATCCCTCCTGCCTCATACCTTCTGCTGGCGGCGCGTACAAACGGGGTGGCACGAGGCGCGAGGCGCGAAGGTGGGGGCTTTTCAGGAGGTGGGGGGGCTTCTAAAAAAGCCCCCACCTTCGAAGAAGCCCCCCACGTTCTTAGAAGACCGCCGGCCTCGCGACGCCAACTCTACCTACCGATTGACGCGCCCAGTGGCCGCGGCACTCCCCCAGACGCCAAGGTCGTGCATGTTGCTCTCGCGGATGACCGAACCGAAGCAAACCTTCTTCTTCTCCAAGTGCGCAATGCGGTACGCGCAGACGCTTGCTTTACTCTGTATGATCTCTTCCCACAGCCCCTCTACTCAGCGCGCACGCGTGAGAAAGTCTCAAGCTCCCATTCCACAGCGAGTGCTTCAGCCATAAATGCACACGGTAATGATCCAAGCAACTTGCCCCCTCGATGAACCACAGCGTGTGAGCCATCACGATAATACGCCACTACTGCCACACAAGCTGCAGAATCTCCACTGCCACGTCGGGCGCCGTCGGGACAGACCCTGAAATTGACGCCCTCCATTAAGGAACGCGTGAGGTTTCCGGTCGGTGGTTGACCACAGCTCCTTTCCATCCAAAGCCACATTTGCCGCGTGGTCTGCCAGTGAATTGCATTTCCGGGAGCCCCATATGATGTCATCGGAAATTGAAGTACGCGGCCTTATACCTCCCAACCAAAAACGTTCTAGATGACGACAAATCCGCACGCAAAAAGGCCGCCAGAAAACACCTTTCAGCCGAAGAGCTCAGCCATCTGCTGGTTGTCTGTTTGCAACCAGAGGAGATGCCCGTCATGCCCCCATTGCTTTTCGCGGGGGGGTCCACAGAACCACATCCGCATCTAAACGGATTCGTTGGATACGGGGTCCTCCCACAGGCCCCCGGACAGACGCCGGCGTCGGTAAAGCCCACCTATTACACAAAATGGTCATGAACTCAGTCGAGAATCCCAGCCACTCCGACAGGGTACGACACGAAGAACGCTTCGTTCGCCACCAGGGCCCCCAAACCTCCACAAAAGGATGCTCCCACTAGAACGTCGACGTCCGCAATGGCTGCGTACGCAACTCAGATTCCGCCGCTCACGCTCGGAAGACAAGCCACAAACGGTCGCCCACCGCCCAACAAGCCGGAACGACCGAATACCCTTCAGTGGAGCAACATCATGATCTGAGACCCCTTTCCGCCTCAAACCAAGCATGTTCGAACACGATATCCATGACTTTGGCGCAAGCAATATCGGCGGCAAGTCGTTCCATCCACTTCGCGATACGGTCGGCCGCGCGGGTGCGATAGTCGAACTGCCCGCCCTCTGGCCGCCGTCGCAGTCGCAGCAATTTTCGCAGGACGCGTAGTCCCCACGGCCGGATGTCTCGCAAGAACCCCGCCGTCAAATGCCACCCTGCACAATTGTGCACGGCCATGGACACCGGACTTGCACTACGAGACCGGAGGGGCTTCTGCGGAGGCAAAGCTTTGTTGCTGAGCACGTACTGGCGCGCGTAGTAGTGCCCTTCGGCTTTGGACAAGTCGCAGTCGACGCTGGTTTTGGTAGAACCCGCATTGTCCAAACAATCGCCAAGAAGTAAAACGCAATCCTTTTTGGCATAAGAACATGGCCCCGCTTGTGCCCCGACGCTCAGCCTTGCGTCGCGGCCCATTGCCAACGCATCTGAAACCACAAACTCTAGAGTCTTGCTCCATTCGAAATACCGTTCGCCAGTTTGCTTACGAAATTGCCCCCAAGCCTTGTCCAAAGCCTCGCTCATGCGCTGCATCATTGCCACAGTACAGGCAAATAGTATGATATTGTCATCCCAAACACAATGCGCACATGATGTGTCGCTCTCCATTCCTTTTGCCGGCAACAGGAATCCCAAGCCCAGCTCCCGCCAAGCTGTCACAAGAGGTCCCATGATGCAGTCAACCAGAACTCGCCTTCCATCAGGTGTCTCCAACCCTCCTTTGCCGCCTTTCTCAAACGAAAACTGCGGAGCACGGCCCACCATAGGCAACTCGATAACAGCCTGCATGGAAGCGATTTCTCGAGCGCACAGCGACACGTCCTGCGCAGGTATCCCGTGCGAGGTCATGGGCACTGGAATGAGGCCATGCGGCATGGAGTCGAAAGCTGTTTTGACATCTTGCACGGCCAGCGCCAAACTAAGTTTCCACTCGTGGGCCAAATACAACAACTCTCTGGCGACGGACGCGAGGTGCATGGCCGAAACACCTTCCCGGAGGCCATGCGAGCGCACCAAAGATGGCCGAATGATTTTCCGCATCCGAGGCCGCACAGCATGCAGAAACCATTTTTGGAGCACACTTCATTTCTAGATCCACCGCAAGCTGCTGAATTCGCCGTCGAACTTGGCCTTCGGAAGCCCCACGAACAACAGAATTCGCCTAAACCCTCAGCGCGCCGTGCAAATATGCCGCGTACGTGAAAAATCCCTGCCCAAGGTAACTCCTTGCAAATGTCAGGCGTGACCTCATCCACGCCCGCAGCGGCGCCTGCTTTCAGCTTTGCTCCGGCGTGCAAAGTGCCCCAAAGCTCGAGCTTCTGCCCAACACCGTCCGTCAAAGATAGAGTTGGGGCCAGCGCTGCGGAGTGCCTCATATCGCTGCCCCTGAACTTCCCTGGGGCCCCCATCATCACCGAACCGCTGCTTTCCAACATCGAACGCCCCTTGAGCCCACTCACTCCTGTCGTAACTGATCCCCCCATCCACCTTGAAATATGCATAGCAGCGCTCTCCTGGCACGGGCCATACAAGGAAAAGAACCTGTTCGCCACCCCCTTCAGGCACATCACGAAAGTATTCAAGTCCGCCTTGCTGAAACCATCCTTGGCGATGCACTTTTGGAGAGCGCACTTCACGCACTCATCCTGGAATCTTCGTTTGGGTAGGTTTGGGGAGACGATGGGTGTCATAATGCTGGGAAGCGCCGGATCCCCAGTCTGGCGTCAGCGTGCTCTCCCAGCTCACGAGTGCCACAACCAGTCGGCGGTCCATTTTCTACCGTCAGGGATTCTCCCTGCACGCGCCCAGATGGTTCACGGGCCTCCCCGCGCCCTCCACATTCTGAAAAATACCTGCAGAATCGATTTGACTCAGATCTGATACACTACGTTTCAAACCACGCGTCCACAAATCACGTTTCGAGGCACGGTGGCCGCACGCGCGCGTGGCTCTCGCTCCAAGATCTGAAGCCATTCGAGAACACGCCTTTGCATAAGATACAAATGCGACTTCAACGGCGCAGCCGTTGCTGGTCCCGCGGCGCCTGGAATGTCGGCCGGCGACGTCGCGTTGGCGTCGACGCCGATAACCACCGACAGCTAGAAAGAAAAACGTTGCGTACGTCTTTCCCAATACATAATGGCACCTGCACATGCTTCCCCCACCAAACCACCCTGATAAATCCGAAAAATGCACGCCCCCGCCCCAGCAGCGCCCAAACTGCACGTCTCTGCATATGGATGCAGGACCCCTGGGATCAGAAAGCCGCCATCGAACCCGTCGCGGTTGGCAGTCTCGTCAGCATTGGCGCGGCCAGTGTGCAATACGTATTTTCCACCAAGGAGCAACCAGCCAGGCGTCCAGCGCGGCACCTCCTGTAGGCAGATGACCGAAGAACCCAAGCCCAATCTCCGTAGATTGCGGCATATACGGGGCACCTCGCACGACATTTATTCATGCACCTTAAAAGTGACCACCGAGAAACCGTCGCCCTGGTTGCTCGGACTAAGGGGCCGCGGGTACCACTAGCGGCGGCGGCGCCGATGCCTGGCGACCGCGTCGTTGGCCGAGCGCTCCGAAGCCAACCATGCAATCCAAAAGATGATGGGCGCCCCATTGGATGACTCAGTTCTCGAGGACCACACACAACGGGCCTGTTGGCTTGACCCCCATCGCATATCCAGCATGTATGCATAGGTGTACACTTGCTATACAATAGTACTTCAAGCCGTGCGCGGTTGAAAAAAGCAAGTTTGGGACCCGCGGGAAGCTGACGCAGGTTTGCTGGTCGCGCCGTAGCGGGTCGAATGCGCCCTCGATGTGCTGCTTGGCGAACGCGTGCCAGGCGCCTGTGAACATCGCGCCCAGGGTGGCTCGGAGCCGCTTTATCGTCTCGCCGGGGGTCTCCCCGGGGAGACCCCACTGGACGCAGCTGATCTTGGTTTTATGCAACTGCTGCCCCGCGTCGGGGCCCAAGGGTTCAGGCCCTCGGCGCGCGGCGGGCCTCGCTTCCCGAGGCGGGGTAGTCGGCGGCTGGCCCTTGGAGCGGCGGCTGCTGCTGCTGCTGCTGCTTCTGCTGCTGCTGCTGCGTCCGCCGCCTGTCATTTGCCGCACTCTGGGCCCGCCAGCGGCGTCGGCGTCGCCAGGGGCCGGGTTTCGACCCAGGGGCGGCAGGGAAACTGGGAAGCCGCCAGTCGCCGGGGCCAGGCCGGGCTTCCACCCGTTGCCAGGCGAACGCGCCGGAGGCACGTTGCGGCCTGGCCGTCGCCGTTCTTCGGTGCTCGAGTTCGCGCCGTTGCCAGGGGGGGAAGGGCCAGGGTGCTGAGAGCCGGCCATGGGGGAGTGGCAGTGGGTGGTTGCCGGTTCGCGCCCCTCCTCCGATTCCTGCGCCGGCACCGCTTCCGCGCCCTCCCCGCGAGCGGCGGGCGCATCCTTCTCGTCGGGTTCCTCGGGCTCCTGC